CCTCCGCCCCTTGGTAAGCCGGACGCGCGCCCACCTCGGGCACCGTCCATCCGTGTGTCCGGCCGCATGTTTTGTGTTCCCGGGGTCGGGTCCCTCGGACACAGCCTGCTCTGCCTTAGCGCTGACCGAGGTCCGGCCGCTCGGCGCGGTCCCGTGACTCCGGGGGCGCCGCGGACTCCCGTGCGTCTGTGCGTCCTAGTGTAGCAGCCGGGCTGTTGGCTGGGAATAGGGAGTGGAAGGACGCCTTGACCTCTTGCCCCGGCTACGACCTTTCCTTGCTTCCATCCACCCCCAGTTGTCAAGCCCAGGATCTGCAGATGTTTCAGGGAGGGTCACATGAGGCAAAGGGTCCCCTTTCCATCCAAGTCCCCCAACAGCAGCATGTTTGACAATAGCTCCGCCGTCGGACCCAGAACAAAACCCACTTGTCCTGTGTCCAGCATGGGCTTTGTTCCAGGCAACCTGAGGGCAGGCGGTCCCTGCTGTAGTGCAGCTGTAGCATAGCCTGGCTTGCAGGTGGAGGCAGGCTGGGAGCCACGCAAGCACGCAGGGACTGCTCCGATTTGCCCCCCACATACACCTCTGCTCCAAGTGCCCTGTCTGCCCTGGGGTCAGGAGGAGATGCAGAGACAGTAAGTGGAACCTTGGGGGTGGGAGTTTGTGTGTGGGGTGCATTAGACAGAGGCACAGGTGTTCTGCCTTAGACAGGTGGGTACCTCAAGAGCAGTAGGCTGACCTAGAGGTAGATTGAGGGGAGCAGGAGGAACAGTGTGTGTGTGTGTGTGTGTGTGTGTGTGTGTGTGTGAGAGAGAGAGAGAGAGAGAGAGAGAGAAATATCCACACCTCCTTGCCCAGTCCTGTGACCTCTAGGTTGGGGTCTTTGTTGGGGTGGGATGGGGCACTGTTAGCAGGACTTCAGGGCCCGAGAGCCACCTGTGGCCCAGGCTTGACCTAGGATAAGGACTGAAGAAGCAGTGGCAGCAAAGGGTAGTGGGACAAGGACTCGGGGGCCACAAGGCCGAGCCAAGGCCATTGAAGCTGAGAAGACTGACCCCAGAGCCTTGGGCTCCCTTCTCCATTTGAGGGGGGTGGACTCTTGCTGTGCTTTTCCACGGGGGTGCTGTGGGCCTCATACACCAGCCATTCAGGCTCCCAGCAGTCAGCTCACCTGGCCCTGAGACCCCCACTATGGGCAAGTCCCGCTTCCTTCATCAGTCTCTGTCCCACTGACTTCTAAGGGCTCACATCAGCTGAGGGCTGTTTGCAGGCTGTGGAAAGTGCTGGGCGGATGGCCTCAAGGATGCATTTTGTCTTCGTGAGCAGTTAATGGGGTGGGTGGGGGCATGTGGCCTGAAGGAGAGAAGCCACTGAGAACATCAGTGTCTGGGAACTAGCGGGGTCTGTCTGGGGCTTAGGTGTCCCTTGGGTCAGCCTGGAAAAGTCTTTTGATAAAAAGTCTTTGGAGCAGACAGATACCGTGTGCTTGTTGAGTCTCTGCTGAGTGACCTTGCTCAGCTGACTTGGCTTCTCTGAGCCTTGGTTTCTCCACTTGGAGAATGGGGATGTTTGGTATCAGCCTGCTAGGGTTGCTGAGCCTTTTCCAGGCACCAGCTGATTTCTGAAAGCAGTGTGCAGGTTCTGAAGAGATGTGCGGTTCAGAGACTGGAGCCCGGGCTCAGAGATGCTGCAGAAGCTGCTGCTTAGACAGGAGGGGAGGGTGGGGGAACAGTGTAGGCTCACAGGGCAGGCTGGTTCTTAATGTGGATCTGGGGGCAGCGGGGGCGGATGCTGAGGTGGGTGTGAGGAGGAGGGGGCCCCTCTGCAGGGACCACTGAGTCACGAGGACATGTAAGCGACATGACAACCGGCAACATGGTAACCAGGAGACTAGCGACGGTGGGAAAGGAACTGGAGCGGCCTGTTGGGGGTGGTGGGTGGTGGGACTGGCAGCACTGGGCTGGAGGGTCCGGGGGAGCAGCTAGGCTGGGTTCTCCATGTGAGCAAGGGAACCCGAGAGAGGCCAGATGGGCTGGGGCTAGGTGGATGCAGCTCGGAGTGGGGGGTGGGGAGACCCCACCGGGGTCCTGGGGCAGGGGGCCTTCTCCTGTACCTCCCCAGGCTCCTCCATTCTCTCCTCCACATCTCCACTTTTCATGCCTCTCCCCCTAGGATGCCAAATTTGGCTCACGCAATCTGTCGTCTCTTCTGAGATTGGCACCAGGACCAAAGCAGAGCACATTACATCACCGCCGCTCTCCCCTGCACGAGGGGAGAAGGAGCAGGAGGGGGGCAGAGGGACAGAGGGACAGGGAGGGTGGGACCAACAGGCAGCCCACAACGATCTCTCCTGCTCCCCACCCCCTCCTGCAATCCCAGGTGCTGGGGGCTCCTGGGGACAGTCAAGCAGGACACAGGCCTCTAATCTTGGGGAGATCCTAGGGACAGGCAAAGCCAGACTCTGTTGATGCCCACTGGCTCTGGGCCTCGGGAGACAAGAACCTCATTGGTTTACCCTGCGACCTTGGATAGGTTCCCTGCCTCCTCCGGGCAGAGCACACACATCTGTGCAGAGAAGAGCTGGCCAAGCCAGATATGGGTGACTCTCCTGAAAAGGGTGCCCTTGAGTCCCACTGTTCTCCTGGGGGCAGTGGGGGAGGGTGACTTTCCCATCTCTCCTTGACCTTGAGCGGGCAGCCTCCCGTCCCTAGGCCTCCAGGTCTCCACCTGTAAAATGGGGTTGCTGGAACATCAAGGGTAATTCGAGAGACACTGGACAAGAAGGCAGGGAACAGGAGAGAAGATGAGAAAGGAACTGTAGCCCCCAAATCTCAGGCACTCAAGGGGCCCTGTGACTCAGCATGCCTGTCCTGGTGGTGGGGGTGGTGACCCAGCTATCAAGGGGAGCCTTGAGGTATCTCCACCAGACAGAGGGCTTGGAACTTCAATCACTGGTCCGGTGCCTGAGTTCTACCAAAGTGGAAGGCAATGCTCAGGGTGCAAAGAGGAATGCCCCCTACCCCTCGCTCCCAGGTCACAGTGAGGCCTTAGGGCTGGAGGAGGCAGAGCTGGGGCTGACCCCTGGGCTCCTGGCTCCCTGCCTTGCCTAGCGAAAGACTGACAAGCAGGACAGGCAGACTAGGGTCCTGGAGTTTTTCGGGCCACTTCAGACTTCATTCAGTTTCCCTCCCTCCTCTGCTCCTTAGCAACATACCCCACCTTCCTGCCCCGGGCACGACCCACCCCCTCCATGTGGCTCATCTTGAGACAACCCCGGGCCTGGGCAGCCTGGTTTGGGGGTGAGGCTGCAAGGTCTCATGGTCCCATCTAGAAAATTCTCAGAGCTTGAAGTGGCAGTGGGTAGAGCAGCGGTGGGTGTTCCGAGAAGCAGTGGGCACCTCACTCTCAGAGCTGTTCCAGTAGATCCAGATGACTACCTGCCAGGGACCTATCAAAAGGGTCCAGTGGAGTGATGGACGGCCTCCTGAATCCCATTTTTCTCTGATGGCCATGAGGGGTAGCCCAGAAGCAGCCCCCATCCCTCCCAGTTTCTTCACCTGGAAGCATGGCTCCTCTCACCAGGCCTCAGACCAGGGGCTTCTGCAGTTGCCATTGCCATCCTCCTAGCAAACCCTGCGGGTTGATCTTGGTGTCCCCGTGTTACAGATGATGGGGACCCCCAGCTCAGAGAACCTCCCCAATTTGCCCAAGGTCACCCAGAAGGAAGTGGAGGCACCAGTTAGATTAATTCCCCCCGCCCACCGGGACATCCTGGGAGAAGAGTGGGAAATGCTCCTCCCCTGGGTTGAGGCTTGGCAGGAGATGGTCTGGTCGCCCCCACAGTATGAACCCCCCTTGGGGATCCTCTGGGGGATCCATTCTGAAGACAGATGCAGACGTGCAGGGACTGGGTGGCAGAGACCACAAGTGAGAATTGACCTGGGCAAATTGCTCATAGAGCTGGACTGGGGGCAGGTGGCCAGCTCCCTGGCCCAGGGTTCTGTGCCCTGCACCCACGAGCACAGATGGGCAATCGGGCTATGGTTGGTGAGGTCTGGGGTTGGGGCTGCTGATGGCTGAGCTGTGAGAGTCCTGGCCGTGGGTTGCAGAATCAGGCCCCCTGCAGACAGGAGAGGGGTTAGGAACCAGTGGGCCCCCCCTCTAACTCAGGGCCACCCACAGATGTCAGCGTTGGATGGAGTCAGCGGCTGGTGGGGAATCAGGTCTGAGGAAATTTGGTGGCTGGCACCAGCCTGGCAAGAGGAGCCTTGGGTGTGGCTTCCTGTGTGACCTTAAGTCGGTTCCTCACCCTCTCTGAGCCTGGCACGCCCCAATGCCAAAGAGTCTAGGCGGAATGATTTGGTTCTCAAAGTAGCTGCCTGTGTTCTGTCATGTCAGCGTGGTCCTCCCATTCCCCCACAGGGCCTTGGGCCCTGGGCGAGGGGTGGGCCAAAATCCTGGGGGCTGGCGGGACCCTGAAGCCGGCTTCTGGCGGTGGAAGCGGCTAAGCGCCCCTCGGGGTGTGTGGGGGATCTCGGGCACAACCCTTCTCCTCTTTTTCGTCTTTATTTTTCTCCTGTTCCCTCTTCCCCTCTCTACGTGGGCTGATCGCTGCTCAAACTTTTAATTCAGATGGTAATTGAAATAATAATATGGGCTGAGGCCGCTGCTTGTGACGGTGCAGCTGGTGGAGCTGGGCTATGAATAGACCTTGAGTCACACACGCGCACGCGCGCGCTCGGCAGGCGCGCACACGGCACTCAAGGGGTGGTGGGCGGGGTGCAGCGTGGGGGGCAGGGGTGGGCTCACGCGCTAGCTTCCGCAGAGCCTTAGCACCTCCACTCCCAAAGGCCAGCTGCCCTCTGGTCGCTGTATCGATCTGGGGGCCAGAGGGGGGGAGAGTGGCTCTCCCTGTCCCATGGAAGGAGAAACTGAGGGTGGACGCGGGGGAAGGCCAGGTTCGAAACGCGGCGCGTCTGAATGGAAATGGTTGGGTTTTGCCCTGGTTCTTCTCCAGAGCGTGCTGACCAGGTGGATGGGGCACAGCAGAGAAACGCAAGGGTTAGGCTGCTGCCCACTCGCTTGGCATCCCCATGTTCCCCCAACAGCCTCCTCCCCTCCCTGCCCCTCCGCACCATTCAGACTGATGCTTGGCCTCTGAGTGAAAGGTTTCCACAAGGGCTCTGGCTGCATGAGAGGGGCCAGCCCCTGTGTGCCAGACTGTCCCTCCCCAAGGACCCCTTCCTCGCCCCCGTTTTTCAGATGAAAATCCGAGTCCCCCTCGGCTTGTCCAAGGTGCTGCAGATAAAAACAGCCACCTCCTCGCCTCTCCTCCGATCTGTGTGTCCAGGGCCAGGGACCCTGGACTCCTCAGTTCCCTGAAGGAGAAATGGGACGTCCCTTTCTCTCTGTGAGAGTCCCACTCCTCCCTCAGCTGCCCGGCCCTTCTCTGAACGGCTGGGACAGCTGCACACGGCAGGCAGGTGTTGGTAAGATGCCCCGAGGGGAGCTACTGGTCAAGGAGAGAGAGGGCTGCTGGGGCAGCGGTGCCAGTGGACCAGGCCAGTGGACTGTGCAGGCAGAGACAGCATTGTCATGACCACCCTGCAGCTGGGCTCTGGTGCAGGCTGAGAGT